TTCACACAAATTCAGACAGCTGATGTTTTGAAAGCGCTGCAAAATCTGGACCCCTACAAATCAGCTGGGCTAGACAATCTGGACCCTTTCTTTCTAAAACTAGCCGCCGAAATTGTCGCAACCCCTATTACTAGTCTGTTCAACCTCTCTTTCATAACGTCTGAGATCCCCAGAGATTGGAAAGCTGCCGCGGTCATCCCCCTCTTCAAAGGGGGTGACACTCTAGATCCAAACTGCTACAGACCTATATCCATCCTGCCCTGCCTTTCGAAAGTATTTGAAAGCCAAGTTAACAAACAGATCACCGACCATTTCGAATACCACCGTACCTTCTCCGCTATGCAATCCGGTTTCCGAGCTGGTCATGGGTGCACTTCAGCCGCTGGTCCTAAACGATATTATAACCGCGATTGATAATAGACAGTACTGTGCAGCCGTCTTCATCGACCTGGCCAAGGCTTTCAACTCTGTCAACCACTGCATTCTTATTGGCAGACTAAATAGCCTTGGTTTCTCAAATGACTGCCTTGCCTGGTTCACCAACTACTTCTCAGATAGAGTTCAGTGTGTCAAATCGGAGGGCCTGTTGTCTGGACCTATGGCAGTCTCTATGGGGGTGCCACAGGGTTCAATTCTTGGGCCGACACTTTTCTCTGTGTATATCAATGATGTCGCTCTTGCTGCTGGTGACTCTCAGATCCACCTCTACGCAGACGACACCATTCTGTATACATCTGGCCCTTCATTGGACACTGTTTTAACAAACCTCCAAACGAGCTTCAATGCCATACAACACTCCTTCAGTAGCCTCCAACTGCTCTTAAACACTAGTAAAACTAAATGCATGCTTTTCAATCGAACGCTGCTGGCACCCGCCCACCCGACTAGAATCACTACTCTCGACGGGTCTGACCTAGAGTATGTGGACAACTACAAATACCTAGGTGTCTGGTTAGACTGTAACTCAACTTCCAGACTCACATAAAGAATCTCCAATCCAAAGTTAAATCTAGAATCAGCTTCCTATTTCGCAACAAAGCCTCCTTCACTCATGCTGCCAAACATGCCCTCGTAAAACGGACTATCCTACCGATCCTTGACTTCGGCGATGTCATTTACAAAATAGCCTCCAACACTCTACTCAGCAAATTGGATGGAGTCTATCACAGTGCCATCCGTTTTGTCTCCAAAGCCCCATACACTACCCACCACTGTGACCTGTACCTCTTGTTGGCTGGTCCTCACTACATGTTCGTCGTCAAACCCACTGGTTCCAGGCCATCTATAAATCACTGCTAGGCAAATCCCCGCCTTATCTTAGCTCATTGGTCACCATAGCAGCACCCACCCGTAGTCTGCGCTCCAGCAGGTATATCTCACTGGTCATTCCCAAAGCCAACACCTCCTTTGGCCGCCATTCCTTCCAGTTCTCTGCTGCCAATGACTGGAACGAATTGCAAAAATCTCTGAAGCTGGAGACTCTTATCTCCCTCAATAACTTTAAGCATCAGTTGTCAGAGCACCTTACCGATCACAGCCCATCTGAAATTAGCCCACCCAACTACCTCATCCCTATATTGTTATTTATTTTGCTCTTTTGCACCCCAGTATCTCTATTTGCACATAATCTCTTGCACATCTAGCATTCCAGTGTTCATACTATTGTAATTATTTTGCACTATAGCCTATTTATTGCCTTACCTCCATAACTTGCTACATTTGCACACACTGTATATATATTTTCTGTTGTATTTTTGACTTTATGTTTTTTACCCCATATGTAACTCTGTGTTGTTTTTATTGCACTGCTTTGCTTTATCTTGGCCAGGTCGCAGTTGTAAATGAGAACCTGTTCCCAACTGGCTTACCTGGTTAAATAAAGGTGAAATAAAAAAAATAAAAAATAAAAAAAGTCTGGAGACTGGCTAGGCCACTCCAGGACCTTGAGATGCTTCTTACGGAGCCACTCCTTAGTTGCCATGGCTGTGTGTTTCGGGTCGTTGTCATGCTTGAAAACCCAGCCATGACCCATCTTCAATGCTCTTATTGAGGGAAGGAGGTTGTTGGCCAAGATCTCGCGATACATGGCCCCATCCATCCTCCCCTCAATACGTGCAGTCGTCCTGTCCCCTTTGCAGAAAAGCATCCCCAAAGAATGATGTTTCCACCTCTATGCTTCACGGTTGGGATGGTGTTCTTGGGGTTGTACTCATCCTTCTTCTTCCTCCAAACATGACGAGTGGAGTTTAGACCAAAAAGCTATATTTTTGTCTCATCAGACCACATGACTTTCTCCCATTCCTCATCTGGATCATCCAGATGGTCATTGGCAAACTTCAGATGGGCCTGGACATGCGCTGGCTTGAGTAGGGGAACCTTGTGTGAGCTGCAGGATTTTAATCCATGACGGCGTAGTGTGTTACTAATGGTTTTCTTTGAGACTGTGGTCCCAGCTCTCTTCAGGTCATTGACCAGGTCCTGCCGTGTAGTTCTGGGCTGATCCCTCACCTTCCTCATGATCATTGATGCCCCATGAGGTGAGATCTTGCATGGAGCCCCAGACCGAGGGTGATTGACCGTCATCTTGAACTTCTTCCATTTTATAATAATTGCGCCAACAGTTGTTGCCTTCTCACCAAGCTGCTTGCCTATTGTCCTGTAGCCCATCCCAGCCTTGTGCAGGTCTACAATTTTATCCCTGATGTCCTTACACAGTTCTCTGGTCTTGGCCATTGTGGAGAGGTTGGAGTCTGTTTGATTGAGTGTGTGGACAGGTGTCTTTTATACAGGTAACGAGTTCAAACAGGTGCAGTTAGTACAGGTAATGAGTGGAGAACAGGAGGGCTTCTTGAAGAAAAACTAACAGGTCTGTGAGAGCCGGAATTCTTATATGGTTGGTAGGTGATCAAATACTTATGTCATGCAATAAAATGCAAATTAATTACTTAAAAATCAAACAATGTGATTTTCTGGATTTTTGTTTTAGATTCCGTCTCTCACAGGTGAAGTGTACCTATGATAAAAATTAGAGACCTCTACATGCTTTGTAAGTAGGAAAACCTGCAAAATCGGCAGTGTATCAAATACTTGTTCTCCCCACTGTATTTTGATCTATTTTGATACATGCTTGTATAAAGCTTCTGTGAGAGCTTGGCGGAGGTCAGGAGTAGTAATATGACTGGAGTGATCAGCAGCTGAATGCCCCATCTTCTCTCACACGATTAAACTGTGGCAGCTGAACTGAACTGGCCCCAGCTGAGAGCCTAGGCCCTCAGGGAACACCTTGAGGGCTCCTCCTGTGTCTCCTGCCCCCTCAGGCGGTGGTGGTACTCTGGGAAATAAAGTCCAGAGTACCACCAAGTGCCTTAAGAAGGTCTAAAGTAAACCTCATCAAAGAGTGGCATCCTGTGATCCCCTAGTTAGCCTACACTGTACTTCTATCAGCTTGGCTACAGCTCTCACTCCAATAACATGCCTGACCTGCCCACGGTGGTCATGGGAAATGCAATCGACGCAACTGCGCTCGGACAGAAATATATATGGGTGAACAAGGAAATGCCTTTGATGCTACCCATACGAAAAAAGATTGCAGTTAGATTGCAGTATAACGGCAGTATACTGCAAATATTGCATCCAAAATAACACTGTTTTTTTTTACTACAGTAATTTTGCAGTGTAACTGCAGTTACAGTGCAGTATAAATGTAGTTACATTTGATTTTATTTTGCAATTACTGCGTCCAAAATACCAAAGTCGACTGCAGTTACTGCACTTTTACTGCAGTTTCAAAACTGCAATCTTTTTTTGTAAGGTAGTGAACTTCTGTAGCTATCACAATGTGCTCATAAAAGGGTGTTTGGATTTTAAAAAAACTCTGCCTGATTTATATTCCTAATATAAAAGTGTTTCTTCAACATATAGCAAGGAGTTTAAGACTTAACCTGAGGATGTTCATTTTTCAGTGGCTGCTTTATATTTCGTAAGGTTATCTGGATTATTTATTTTTCCACAGAGCTGGGAGTAAATTGTTAATCTTTGACCTGTAATATTAGAGCAAAGCTTCCCACAAGGCCTTTATAGGGGAGGAACGAACACCCCCTTTAATCTTACGGAGAAGTAATGAACATCCCCTTTAATCCATCACTATTGTAAATGAAAGTTGATTAAAGTTTATTATCAATAATACATTTGTTTAATGAAAAACACATTAAGCTACACAAATAGATTTTCATAATCTCCCCTTGGCCAAAGGGTCAGGAGGTACATTTTTATACTCAAGGATGCACTTTTAAAACCTTTTCCTGATAAGTCACAATCAAGACGACACAAGGCAAAGTGGAGGGGAGTTCCATTACTGTAGCTTCTATCAGAGATCTGCAGCGCTTTTGAAGAAAATCACAGAGAGGGTTTTTGGAAGTAGCAGCACAGAAGGGACCCATCATTGTACACGTCTAAAGCACTTTGAGAGTTACAGGTTGAGAGAGCGTTTGATGGTTCCTGGCTCAGCTATCCATCTGTGGCGTGGCCTTGACTAGTGTCAGGGGTAATTGGGATACAGTCGTATTTGCGCAGAGTCCCACTCCGTTTCATACGTTTCAGCGGCTGACTATTTCACTAATTGTGATTTGCTTTAAAAATAGCCCGACAAAAGCAAAGACATACAGTAGCTCACAACGCTCCCACTGAAGGCACATTCAGCGCATTCGTCTCAACACTGTTGTTTGTTTAATTTGTTTAATTTCTGTGTTTGTTACTTTTATCCGGAGCTGTCCTTAATCACGGATATTCTATAAAAAGTTGATTAAATTGCTAATGTAGCAATTAGCAAGCGAACCGAGGCTCGAATTTATCTTAATGGGAAATATCAGCCATTACAGAGGAGAGTAATTAACAAGCTCTTTCCGCTATGTTTGTTCTTTGCTTTGTTTTGTTATTTTATCTCCAATGGAATTTTACTGAGTGAATCCTTAATTAACCGGTTTAAGCACTGCCGTGTGAAAATGTCTTACGGGGGTCAGGATAGCATCAAACCCCAACCACAGCAACAATGTTTATACAGTTGTTTACAGCCTGCTGCTTGCACTCACACGCTCCACTCACACACATCTCCCTTTGATTGCGGTCACATGCACACACACAAACAACAAACACACACACACACACGTCTGGCTCCACTTACGCTACAATCTGGTTTTACAGACACTAAACCATTTGACCATTTCAACTAACCACATGCAGGTACTCTGGTGTTGGTTTATAGACTGACTCTCTGTTCTCACCCATGTAGACCTGCCTCTTGTCAACCTATCTGTGGAGCCCCAACCCATACTGGAGGGCAACCTGGTGAAGTTCCACTGCTCTGCCAAGGCTAACCCACCCGTCATCCACTACAGGTGAGATAGTACACCTGCACACACACAAACACACAAACACACACACAAACACACACATGCAAACGCATTACATCTGCACCTATTTTCTTCTCCGATTGAAGTCTTTAATTTGGGTGACCCAAAATCTCTACTATTTGATGTGCTTATGATGTGTTCAGTAGGTCTATATCCACATTAATAGTCTGTATACTTTCCTCTCAGGCTGCATAAGGAGTGCCGTAGTCTCTCTTTCCAAGTTCTGCATCTCTACTGGGGTATGACACAGGAAACATCGCCATATGTTTCACATTGTCGTAGGCAGTCCGGTGTGGGGCAGGTGGTTAGTCGGCGTAAAAAAGTGTGTCAAATGTACCCAGAGGTCACCTTAGACCGTAACTCCCTGCCAGCAGCTGGCATCACATTGATAATAGATGGGCAGGGGTCCCTGAGACCGTGGCATACATCACTACCATCTGCCTCTGCCAGTGCAGGGGCAGGCACTGACTGCATTAGGTTGGCACAGAGGGGGCACAAAGTGAACCACAACACACAAGGGTTTCCTGTGGTTTGTACCCACATCCTCTAGCCAGGGGGTGAGGAGGTCCAGGAGCACATGCTGGTGCAGGTCAGCCAGGTGAGGGAACACTGACCCAAGAGAAGATGGTCGTGGTGAAGAGAGAGAGAGAGAAGAGAGAGAGAGAGAGAGGAGATAGAGAGATGAGAGAGAGAGAGCGAGGAGAGAATAGAGAGAGATCGATAGCTCGACCTCGCCGCTCCGCCTCCTACTCTCCTATTCTGAGGCTCTCTACGATCTCTCATCGCCTCGCTCTCTCTCTCTCTCGCTCTCTCTCTCTGCTCGCTCTCTCTCTACTGGCGATCTCTCCATCCTCTCTCTCTCTCTTCTCTCGTCTCTCTCTGCCCAGCTGACTGGGTTCAGTAGTCTATTTGAGGATGGTTAGCCTCTGCCCAGAAAATACACTATAGGCAAAAATCTAGCTGCTGGGAAAGTGTTTGAGTCCACACAATGTTTCTTATAGGTTTAGGGATAATATCACTGTATGATTGCTACCATTTATTTGCCTTATATCTCTAAGTGGTTTGGGATATCCCTGCTCCTGGAACATTAATTGTCATGACAGTATACTGTTATAGTGCATACAATAACTACCAGCTGTCATGAACAACAGAGAGCTTTGACATGCCATCATCCAGCATATTGCACTGCAATAAGCAAGTTAGCAACTACAGTAATATTCCAGTAACCACCATCCACCCCTTATTGGTTCCGATATTGCGAAAGGGACAATCCCCCATATAATTGACAGTAATAGAAAAAGTAGTTGTTTATTATTCTGTGTGGCGCCCCTCCTGTGAATTGCAAACTGGTGTTTGAATTTGATTAAAGAAGCATCTCTATTTTAGCATGGAAACAAGAGGAGGGCTACGAGCCTCTGTAAATATCAAAGGCCTGCATATGCTTTGGCATTAGCGGCGGTTGCACATTAAATGGAACAAAAGTGTTTACGCAAAACAACAGTGGCACATCCCTTTGATGTGAAATAGACCTGGCTGGAGCGATTTTGCCACCTCGACAACAATGCTTTGTGGCTAATAATACAGGTTGACGGGGATGATCTGGCTCATTAGTGGGGGTTGTGAATATGTGCACTTTGTTGTTTACCGTACAGGGTAGGGGTCAATTCCATTTCAATTCCAGTCAACAATCTAGACAAAATACTCTGCAATGTCAAAGTGAAAGATTTGTATTAATAAAAACATAAAATATAGTCATTGCATAAGTATTCAGCCCCTTTGTTTAGGCAAGTCTTAAATTATTTCAGGAGTAAAATCTGGCTAAACAAATCACATAATAAGTTACATGGACTCACTCTGTGTGAAATAACTGTGATGAGTGTGATTAGAAGGAGTCAGGCGCAGGAGGGTTTACAGAGTTTATTCCGTCGTACACAGTTGCGCTGGATAGCGACAACAAAATACAGGCACAAGGGAACAATCTACACCGGCAATACAAGGTACGGGTAGCTCCAACAAAATACAGGCACAGGGGAATAATCTACCCCGGCAATACAAGGTACGAGTAGCTTCACTGAGCTACACTCAACTCAAATAAAACAATCACCCACAAGGACAAGGGAGCAGAGGGAACACTTATACACAGACTAATGAGGGGATATGAACCAGGTGTGTGTAATTGACAAGACAAGACAAATGGAATGATGATATATGGAGAGGCAGTGGCTAGTAAGCCGGTGACGACGAACGCCGAAGTCTGCCGAACAAGGAGGGGAGGCAGCCTCAGCAGAAGTCGTGACAATAACAGGGGTTGACATGATTTTTTTATGACTAGCCCTTCCTCTGTCCCCCATACATACAGCATCTATAAGGTCCCTCAGTCAAGTATTGAATTTCAAGCACAGATTCAACTACAAAGACCAGAGAGCTTTTCGAAAGCCTCATAAAGAGGGGGAGTGATTGGTAAATGGGTAACAATAACAAATCAGACATTGAATATCGCTTTAAGCATGGTCAAGTTGATAATTATGTTGTGGATTATGTATTAAACCACCCAGACACATCAAAGATACATTCATCCTTCTTAACTGAGCTGCAGGACAGGAATGAAACTGACATTGAGGTCATTGGTGATTCTAAAACAGCTACAGAGTTCAATGGTTGTGATAGGAGAAAACTGAGGATGGATCAACAATATTGTAGTGACTCCACAAGAATACAAATATACTGAAAACATCCATCTTGTATGCAACAAGGCACTAAAGTAATACTGCAAAAAACACAGTAAAGGAATACACTTTTTGACACAAATACAAAGCCTTATGTTTGGGGCAAATCCCACACAACACAACACAGCACTGAGTAACTGCCTCCTTATTTTCAAGCATGTTGGTGGCTGCATCATTGTTTGGGTATGCTTGACATTGGCAAATACTGGGGAGTTTTTCAGGATAAAAAGAAATGGGATGGATCTAAGCAAAGGCAAAATCCTAGAGGAAAACTTGCTTCAGTCTGCTTTACACCAGAGACTGGGAGAGGAATTCACCTTTCAGCAGGACAATAACCTACAACACAAGGCCAAATCTACACTGGAGTTGCTTACCAAGAAGACATTGAATGTTCCTCAGTAGCCAAGTTACAATTTTTACTTAAATCTTCTTGAAAATCTATGGCAAGACTTGAAAATGTCTGTTTAGCCATGATCCTCAAAATCTTGACAGAGCTTGAAGAATTTTGAAAAGAATAATGGGCAAATATTGGGTAAGTCTCTTTAAGAGACTTACCCAAGAAGACTCAGCTATAATCGATGCAAAGGCTTTTTTTAACATGTCATTGACTCAGGGAGCTGAAGACTTATGCAATGACTTTATTTTAGTTATTACATGTTTATTCATCTTTAAAACATTTTATAATTTTTCTAGATTATTGACAAAAAAATGACACAATAGAATGTGAAGAAATCCAAGGTGTCTGAATGCTTTTGCAAGGCACTGTAAATTAGTACAACTTGTAATTGGAATTAGAATTTGGTTTAATTGCTGAATTGACTGAAATTTGAATTTAAATGGAATTGACCCGACCCTGGTACCATACTGCTTGTCATTGAACATTTGCCATTGTTGTGTTTTTTTCAGCGTGTCACACACTTAGGTTCTTTGTGGCACCTTTTTAAGTTGAAAAGGATCAAATCCGAATACCATAACATGATTGTTGATGATTGTACAGTATTTTGCAACTTAATGTTAGATGGTTCCTCACACTGAATGTAGTCTATAGACCAGGAGAAACTGTAATCCATGGTTCTGTTTGTTTTAAACAGCCACTACAAACGGCAGCTAACTTTAGCCACCGCTAGTTAAAATTCAATGATAGGAGCAAATGTACTGCAATGCTGAACTTCCCCTTGAAGATAGGATGTAGTAAGAGCAATCTATCCATGTGACTCAACAAGCCCTTTATACAGAAAAAATTGTGACCAGAGTCAAGAAAATCCTAGCCCCTTAAGTCAAAAACCAAAAGTAGTGCGCTACAAATGGAATAGGGTGCCATTTGGGACGCAACCCCCTCTCTAGTCCTCCTCTTTCTTTAATGCTGCATAAGGACAGGCTCGTTTCTCACTGCCTTCTTAATGCTCTCTTAGCCGAAGCGTGGCTATTGATCACCTGAGAGCTGCCCTTTTCCGTGTAAAACGAGGAGAGTTTCTCAGAGGCCTGAGAGCTCAGAGCAGGATGCTGTCGATGCTGTGAGGTTGGGCCTGGAATCTGGATGTAAGGAATAGTGAGGGATAGGAAGAGGGAGGTGTCTCTTATCTCAGAAGCTCCAGACCTCCTTCTCTTCTTCCTTTTACTCAGACTAGGTATTGAGAGGATGCTTGGAGAGATGGGTTGGACTCCAGACCTAATGGTTTGGAGATTACTATCTAATCTGTTGTCATGGTAATAATATATGGTAATCAGGGTTGTGTCCAAAATGGCACCCTATCCCCTACATAGTGCACTATGTTTGACTAGAGCCATATGGGCCCTAGTCAAAAGTAGTGCTCTATCTAGGGAATAGGGTGCCATTTGAGACGTATCCCAGGTGGTCTTTCATTCAAGCTCAATTGGTAGAGGTGGAAGAGAAAATGTAATACAGACCATCCGATTGAACGATAGAGTGGTGACAGCACAGGGGTATGCTTTCAGAGCCAATCTGTCAGACAGAAGGGGGACAGGTAGCTGCCGTGAAACAATTCATTTCAACTGCCTTGTTGTGCATCCTAGTCCTACCTCTGCAAGGCAGACAGCAAGCTGAAGGGGAGAGAGATTGAGAGAGAGGGAGGTCTGGCAGCTAACTCCATTAGCAACTGTTTGTTTCTCATAAAGCTGCCGAGACAGTGTGAGTGAGTGAATGAGTGAGTGTGTGAATGAGGGAGGGATGGAGGATCTGGCAACTAACTCTATTAGCAACTGTTTGTTTCTCATAAAGCTGCCTAGAGGGGCAGCGATGGGGAGAGAGGCGAATGAGTTTCGCTTGCAAATAAAGTACGCTTCTTATCCACACGGGGGGTTCTGGTGTTGGTGTCGCTGCTGCTGTTTTTTTCTTTCTTCTCTGTTGTCACTACTGAGGTGTCTGATGAGAAAGAATCAATTGCACAGATTTAGCTTGGCTTGACGGCTATTTGTTGTGAACATGTGGGTGTTGTGAACACAAACTCTGTCCGTGTGTATGGACATGAACTTGTTTGATTGTTCCATTTTTTGGTCCTCTGGGAAGTTAGTTTCTGTGTGTGTCTGTGCATGTGCGTGCTTGCCACCCTGCATTCGAATTTGACAGCGGAAGATCATAGACAACATGAACAGCGCTTCAATAACTGTAAAAAGCTAAATGGATTCCTTCGTGCATACAGTTATGTGGGGTCACATGTTCAAAAGCTGTGCTTATATACTATTGTTCTTGAATAATTCAGAAGTGACTGGGAAAAGGATAAGCATCAGACATGTAGCACTGTTCTGTTCTGACATTCACAGGCTTGAAAGAGAGCAGAAAGAAAGGTTACATTTGAATTGAGAAGGGATGTTGAGGAGACGTTAACAGCAGATTTGAGAAGGGATGTTGAAGAGACGTTAACAGCAGAATTGAGAAGGAATGTTGAAGAGACGTTAAGAGCAGAAATGAGTAGGGATGTTGAAGAGACATTAACAGTAGATTTGAGAAGGGATGTTGAAGAGACGTTAACAGCAGAATTGAGAAGGAATGTTGAAGAGACGTTAACAGCAGAATTGAGAAGGGATGTTGAAGAGACGTTAACAGCAGAATTGAGAAGGGATGTTGAAGAGACGTTAACAGCAGAATTGAGAAGGGATGTTGAAGAGACGTTAACAGCAGAATTGAGAAGGGATGTTGAAGAGACGTTAAGAGCAGAATTGAGAAGGGATGTTGAAGAGACGTTAACAGCAGAATTGAGAAGGGATGTTGAAGAGACGTTAACAGCAGACAGCATCAACCTTTTAAAATTCGTCCTCGCCATCATCAAGCTGTGTTTTAGTAAGGGAGTGAAATATTTTCTGATTTGCAGGAGATTTGGTTTACTTGATCTCCTTCAATGCTGTCACTGTCCACTGTGTCCTTGTGATGAAATGTCTTTGGCAAAATGGAAGACTGTCGTAGGGCATCTGGGGTCTGGCTTGTCCCAAATGGCACCCTATCCCCTGTATAGTGCACTACTTTTGACCAGGGCCCATAGGGAAACTCTGGTCAAAAGTTAAGCACTATATATATATATATATATATATATATATATATATTTGAAGTCGGAAGTTTACATACACCTTCGCCAAATAAATTTATACTAAGTTTTTCACAATTCCTGACATTTAATCCTAGTAAAAATTCCCTGTTTTAGGTCAGTTAGGATCATCACTTTATTTTAAGAATGTGAAATGTCAGAATAATAGTAGAGAGAATGATTTATTTCAGCTTTTATTTCTTTCATTTAATTCCCAGTGGGTCAGAAGTTTACATACACTCAATTAGTATTTGGTAGCATTGCCTTTCAATTGTTTAACTTGGGTCAAACGTTTCGGGTAGCCTTCCACAAGCTTCCCACAATAAGTTGGGTGAATTTTGGCCCATTCCTCCTGACAGAGCTGGTATAACTGAGTCAGGTTTGTAGGCCTCCTTGCTCGCACACGCTTTTTCAGTTCTGCCCACACATTTTCTATGAGTGAGGTCAGAGCTTTGTGATGGCCACTCCAATACTTTTACTTTGTTGTCCTCAAGCCATTTTGCCACAACTTTGGAAGTATGCTTGGGGTCATTGTTCATTTGGAAGACCCATTTGCAACCAAGCTTTGACTTCCTGACTGATGTCTTGAGATGTTGCTTCAATATATCCACATAATTTTCCTTCCTCATGATGCCATTTATTTTGTGAAGTGCACCAGTCCCTCCTGCAGCAAAGCACCCCCACAGCCTGATGCTGCCACCCCCGTGCTTCACGGTTGGGATGGTGTTCTTCGGCATGCAAGCAACACCCTTTTTCTTCCAAACATAACGATGGTCATTATGGCCAAACAGTTCTATTTTTGTTTAATCTGACCTGAGGACATTTCTCCAAAAAGTACGATCTTTGTCCCCATGTGCAGTTACAAACCGTAGTCTGGCTTTTTTATGGCGGTTTTGGAGCAGTGGCTACTTCCTTGCTGAGCGGCCATTCAGGTTATGTCGATATAGGACTAATTTTACTGTGGATATAGATACTTTTGTACCTGTTTCCTCCAGCATCTTCACAACATTTGACCAGGGACCATAAGGCTCTGGTCAAAACGAGTGCACTATATATGGAAAAGGGTGCCATTTGGGACGCAATCATAGAGTTACAACAATGAACCAACACATGAAAACAGTACTTTTTGTGATTGCTTTTCTTTGGTTTTGACAATAAATCTAGGATATGTCTGTGTTGTCTGTATTCACTGAGGAAGTTTTGCATGTTCATAATCTTATTCTCTAAATTGTGACATCTATAACCAGGCCATCTTTTCTACCATAGCATTACACACAACAAACAACAACACATTTGATATTCAAAGATGTTCGTCCAAGTTAATTATGCATGATTCATCGCTCTTTTCACTCAGAATCCTCAAGTTATGTTTTGTTCCAATGTATAGCCTAGCCTACATAATAATTAATCACATTTATTCCAAACTGGGTCCTTTGTATTTATCTCTTCAACTTGTTGCCCTTCTGTCAATGTAAACAATAGTTTGTTTGTTCAGGGGCTTGATCTGCCTGTTACTGGCAGTGGGATATACTTGTGCCGGGCAAGGTTCTTCAACCAGGCAATTTATTTCTTCTTCAATATAATGACTTCAGCATCAAAGCGGGCGAAAGACAGAGACGAAGTGAGAGCACTTATATCATAACGCCCCTCCTCCTCCCTTCCCTCCTCCCCTCCCTCCTCCCCTCCCTTCTCCCCTCCTCCTCCCCTCCCTCCCTCCTCCCCTCCTCCTCCCCTCCTCCCCTCCGCCTCCCCTCCTCCTCCTCCGCCTCCCCTCCTCCTCCCCTCTGCCTCCTCCTCAACCAGACTCCCAAGCAGCACGTGAATATGCTCAAATGAAGAAGAAAAAAGCAATGCACCGAAACAACAAAAAAGCCACCTTTTCTTTTGTTGTTTCGCTATGCTCGGCGAAGTGCAGACCACAGCAGTAAATTGCGCTTGAATGCAACACATTTTCACTGGTTGTGTCCCAAATTGCACCATATTTCCTATGTATTGCAATATGTTCCTATGTTTTGCAATACTTTGGAGTCTGGTTAAGCTTGTGTCTTTGATATCCACCTCCAAAGCCGCTACTGGTTGGATTACATTGCCCACATTGTCTTCCCTCTTCCCTGTTGTGACTGTGGATGTTTCCCCCAGAGTGGTACAGATATAGGTACAGATATAGGATCAGCTTCCCTTCTCCCATTACTAACATTAACCATTAGTGGGGGAAATGCAAAACTGACCCAAGATCAGGGTCTAGGTCTAACTTTAACCTACTCTGTCATGACCTATATTCAGGTGGGCCAAAGGGGGCAGCATCATCAGAGAGGTGTCAGGTGACACCTATGAGGTCATTGTGGACCATTCCTTCTTCACTGAGCCTGTCTCCTGTGAGGTCACCAATGCCCTGGGCAGCACCAACATCAGCAGGAACGTGGACGTCTACTGTGAGTAGTAGTCCGCAAGTAACACACACACACACACACACATACTACTGTGAGTAATCCCCAAGAAAACATACTCAGGAACTATAACTAGCTAGCTACAGGCAGTAGGAATCACATCCAGTACATGTATAGTCCCAAATAGATGGTTTGTAGCTGTTCAGCTAACTGTCAACAAGATTTCAACTAACTATCCACTAACCCTTGCCCTAACCTTAATCCTTACCCTAACCGTAACCGTAACCCTAACCCTAACCCCACAAGTTGTAACGTATCAACAGAGTTGAAGTTGTTAGCTTGTTGATGCCGTAGCTTGAGTATCTGTAGATCATCTATAGACGACTATCCAAATAAAGTCTAACCATTTCTGTTCCTGTGATTCCAGTTGGGCCCAGAATGGCTGCTGAGCCACAGTCCCTACAGGTGGACCAGGGATCAGATGCTATCTTCAACTGTGCCTGGACAGGAAACCCCTCCCTCACCATCGTATGGATGAAACGCGGCTCTGGAGTGGTAGGCATTGTAATCACCATCATCCTTTTCTATTGTGCTTATTGTACAAGACCCATTCCCTCTTCAGGGCAATAACGTATTATATTCTGTTCTATTATATTATATTCAGTTCTAATACATTTTTATTCTATTCAATTCTGTTCTAGCCTATCCTGTTCTAGTCTATTCTATTGTCTTATTTTATTTTCTATTCTCTTATATTCTAAGGTGTATTCTATTCTACAGGTGTTCATTTTTATACTGTGCCAATGCAGCAGCTATTCTCTGTAGTTAACCTTGAAAAGCACTTGTCATCAAATTCAGACATTTCAAGAGACTATAGAAAAACTAGAAATGGGCCCAGACACTCAACACATCATACTTTACCTTCATAATGGTATCGGTTAAAAATAATCTATTTTACATGGTCCACTGGTTTCAGTCTGTGGTATAGGCAATTCCACCCATGCAGTTCATGTTGATATTCTGAGATTAACATACTCTTTCATACCGTTTATTAAAGCAGTGGCTCAGGTGGCCTTGCAGACGACTAAGTGTGTGCCATCACTCTCCTTTTGGTGAGTGCTTATTGGGTTTTCGATTGGCTGATACGAGGGTTGGACGGAAGGACTCGGCTGCAGCCTTGAATTCAGAGGCGAGCGTTTTATCACCAGCCTGACCTTTGACCTTGACCCTCCACAGGTGCTTAGCAACGAGAACATCCTGACGCTCAAGGCGGTGAGGCAGGAGGATGCTGGGAAGTACGTATGCCGGGCGGTGGTCCCCCGAGTTGGAGCTGGAGAGAAGGAAGTGTCGCTTACTGTGAATGGTAAGTACACTTCACATGTGGATGAATGCTAAATTCATTTCCAAGTTGAATGTGGAAGTTGTTCCAAGCTCAGAGGCATGTTTCAGGCTAGCTGGACTCAGGGATAACATGGTAAAAGCAGAGACATATTTATGCTAGTGGTGTCAAGATCAGTGGGTCATAATAACATAGTTTGCTTTTGACAGGATGAAAAAAATCATGGATTTACAGCTAGGACTGTAATTTTGTGTGTAAAAATGAACTGTTAACTATTTCAATTAAAGGATATCTGTCATATCACAATGGCTGTCAATCATTGTTGATACCCGATACTATCATAATATTACCTAACCCTACTCCTATTACAGATATGTTTTGATGTCTCCAGGCTTTCTGACATCAAAGCTTAGCCTTCATGTTGGCTTGAGACTAGTGTACTTTCAATTGTTCCTTGTCTTTCAGAGGAAATATTTGAAACATAAACATACATACATACATATATTTGACATATTGGAAATATGTGTGTTATCTGAAAGGAAAAAAACTGTCATTGTCTGTTAGCGTTCGTTAATATAATCAATATCATTGACAATGACTTCACCTAGGAATGAGCATGTTGCACCAGAAATAAACAACACAGGATAAATGTAATTAAAGGTGAAAAAGGTGATTAAACACGTCTTTACATCGATTGCAAATGGACTGATCTCCCAGCCTTATCTCAGTGCAGCAACAGCTGGCCAAGGCTAAATGAGAAGTTATTGCAACCTTTTTTAACTAATCAATAAATAGTCAACAAAGACAGTTGTTTAATATGCCTGAAGACAAGGTCAGGCAATCGATGGCGAGCTCTATCGAATAACTCCTCCGTAGAAGAATTTCTGAAGCCGGGATATCATCATAAAATTCATAGCACAAGAATATGCAGAGACGTAGGTAGCACCACAAAATGGCTGACTCGAAATTGTACTTTTTTCCCCCTCTCGCTTGCCAAAGGGGCTCTCTTATTGTCTGCTCTCATTGCAGGTTTAACCAGTCAATGAAAAAGGGTTCTGGAGGCATATAGACTGACTGTTTTGATGAAAGCTTTCACCCTTGAGCCCATACAGTGTAATACAGTTCTGCTGTAGTGAACCAATAAGAGAGAGTGAGGTTTGGCCTTATTCTCTCCTTGAAGCTTGTGTCAGGAAGTCCATTATTTGAAGAACTGAAAAGGTGAAGCATTTGGCCACAAGGGTTTTTACGCTAAACCCACCCATCACCATTGTTTCTATGCAGAGGCTGATTTGGACAGGTTATGGTTAAGAATCATATTTTACAGTGAAAGTGTTTGGATTCCAGGCTAGTGAATCTTGGTTTCACTCCCCACTCCAAGCACAAACAAGTGACATCTCCTCTCCGCCAATAAATACATCCACCCTGTTTTCCTCCTCTGGTGACTCAGGAGAGCAGCTCCAAGATAAAGTCATGGGAAATAAATGAATCTAATTATAGCACTCCTTTGAGCTTCCCGGTCCTTCGTCAGATCTCTCGGGCTCCCCCACAGGAGCCCTGTGTGAATACGTTTGGCTGTATTGAGAAGCCCATTTTGCACTGGAAAGCCCCCTTCCCCCCCAGCTTTTTATTCCTGTACATAATTAAGGGGAAAGAGACAGTTCCGTTGTCTGAAAGTGTCCAACATTATGCAGGAATGCAGTTGCAAGAACACAGCAGACGTCTAACAAAATGAATGGTAGCTGTAATTTATGTCCTGGTGAGCAAACAAAACAGTATGTGGACTAAGCTGCCAAAAAGCATTACAAACTAGCGGTACCTCAAAATAAGTCGTCTGGGTGTCCCCGAGGAGAGGTTTGAGCAGACGCTCTTATTCGGAGCGAATTATAGGAGCGATTAGGGTTAAGTCCCTTGCTCAAGGGCACAGACAGATTTTTCACCTAGTCGACTCTGGCATTCGAACTAGCGACCTTTCGGCTAGTGGCCCAACACTCTTAACCGGTAGCCTACGTGCCACCCTACTGAAGTCGGGTATTCTTTTTCCTCGCTTCTTCCTTTCCATTGATGTCTGTTTTGCTTCTGTAAACAGTGACACAGAATTCAGGCCCCTGGGTTTCTCTGAGTGAAATGTGGCTGCAGTTGAATGGAAAGAAATAAGATAATGTTTGTTATTCTTATGGTCAGCAGTCCTGGAATTTGTAAGAGCTCCTTGACTTGGGAGGCTGTCATCGTCACACTGTGTCAGTCAAAGGTCACACATTTCAAAGGTTTTCTTTCACAGGCGGAGGAGTTTAAATGGAACTAACGCACAGGACGGCGAACTGGAATGACTTTGTTTTCTCTAGACCTTTATCTAACCCTTTCACTGTCCTCCGCTGTACACCCAAACCTTCTACCTTTCTTCTTCTATTTCTTAGCCTTTAAGCAATAAAAACAACCTTATTTTCACCGCGCCGTGAATCTCACCTTAAGAAAAACTAATTAAAATCTCATCATGAACAATTACTAGTCTCCATTATACTGTAAACTAGAAAGTATTATAATGCCTGTGCCCTTCGCCTTCCCCCGTTGATAGGCCGTTGATGTATGTGGGTGTTTTATTGGAGTGATTGACTGCTTTTCCCTTGGCCGTGCTGTAGGTCCTCCCACTATCTCCAGCACCCAGACGCAGCAAGCCCTCTACGGGGAGAAGGGGCAGATCAAGTGTTTCATCCGCAGCACTCCTCCTCCCGACCGCATTGTGAGTCACACATCCCTCCTTCCTTCTGAAAAACAAGTATTTTAAAACTGAGTTTGGGCCATCTATGTTCCAACCAACGAGGGACCTTATTGGTTTTAACATGATGAAGACGTGTTCACGCCTCAAATCAATCATTGACCAGTGAATGACAGTGGACATTTGTTATGAATAGAATGTGGAGGTATGCCTAAATATGGCCAAGGATAGGTGGGGTGGCAACAAAGGATCCCAATGGGGCAAAAGTAGATCAAAAAATTATATGAGGGAATCCTTGCATATTAAATGATTGGTTACACTTTATTTGGATAGTCCGGATAGTCTACCTGTAGATGTACCAAATGACAAATTGGCTTCCTTACCATTTAACAGTTTGGATTTCTGTCTTACCTTGTAGACTGTATAGGGTAAGGAAACAATAATGGGTGAAATATCCCTATAATGCAGTGCAAACCAAATGAATGAGCTTGACCTAAAGAAATAAGAAAGTAGGTCAGGTGAGGACAACCCTAAGGACTTAACATAGAACAATCAAGGGCAAATGATATCCTAATGAATATCCTATCCTAATGTAAAAAAGAGGGCGTAGTCCGTAGAGAAAGAGCTCATAGACATGTAGGCTAGTAATGAAATACATTAAGGAAGTGAAGGCAAATGAATTGAAAATTAGAAGTCATTATCCTCATTTAGAGAACAGAATATCAAGCCTTTTCCTGAAACAGACTAATATTTACTTCACAGTGGAAATGGAGGGATTCATCCCATTCCTGACCTATACTAATCAGCAGAGGTGGGACCAAGTCACTATTATTCGAGTCACAAGCAAGTCTCCAGTCACAAGGTCCGAGTCTCAAGTCGAGTCCCAAGTAGAATGGGTCGAGTCTCGAGTCAAGTCCAAGTCGTGCATTCAAAGACAAGTCATGTCGAGTCAAGTTTTTCAAGTCAAGTCTCAAATCAAGTAAAACAAAATCTATACATGCAATGACTTGTTCAACCTCAAATCAATTTATTGAGGCTACCAGACAGCCCTTTTCATTATTGTGTCTACAACACATTTTGATTACGTAATTATAAAATAGGGACTTGTAGCAGTGGGAAGGGCATGAAATCAGCAGAAGGCAAGGCAGGTTGACGTGCTCAGAGTGTAGATTTATTTACAGGTCTTAGTGATCCAATGGTGAAAGCACCATATCATATCAAAATATACAAGTAGATTTATCAAATATACACGGGCAATATCTCAAAAGAAATAGCTTCTGTATTAGGCTTAGCCTGTCCTGAACGAACACAGGTAGAGGGCAAGACTGCACAGCCTCCCCTTGAGAAAACAAAATCGAATCTGTCTAACAGGAGCTCAAACAGCTACATATAAGCACTTGACCCCTCCCAGGACCATACAATCACCCAATTGGCAATTACAACCAATAAACTGGTTCTACAATGTAAAAGGCAATTTGTCTTAATCAGAGTTAATGATTATTAATGATATTTCATCACGATTCATAAATGGAATAATAATTGTATCTTATTCAATGTAGGCTACTGACTCCAAAGCGTGGAGTGCAGGCTAAGTAGCCTATTTCTATGCGCACTGAGGCGTGCGCTCCTATTATGCACAACCAGAATGACAGAGACATAGGACACAGACACACAGAACTCCGACATAACCCTGGAAATATTAACAAAATAAACCATACATTGAAGTAAATAAACAGAACTTCTACCTCATGAGTCTTGCGAACATCCATGTTCACAATAAACATCGGGCCCACTCAGAGGGTAAGAAATGGTAAATGAAAATGTATATCAAACATGAAACAGAAATGTCTTAAGTGTTGCAATAAATGGTACGGGGATGGAATGATGAAACGCTAGCAATTATTGTAGGATTAGATGTATATAGATTGACCATATATGCATTTAAACATGTGAAAGAAACAGCAAACATTTCAACAATAGAACGAAGCACTCTCCACTGGAGTTTGGAGAGCGCAAGTGAAGAGACGCACCTATGGCGCACAGTAATAATTCATTTTATCAACAAATTCCAAATGCAAGCTTCATAAGTAAATTATCAATTTCAAGCCATTTTAACATGCCAAAAGACCAATAGGCCTAAGCTAGTAATTGTTGCTTGATGCCACATTGCTGTTGAGCTTGCAAAGTAAAGTTAATATTCTTGATCACCAACACATTTTTGGATCTGCATGTATTATGCCAATCCTCTCTCCATACAATTTGATGTTTGCGCTGCACGTGATCCTAAATGGGAGACCGGGGATAATTGTAACACGGGATAGTTGTAACACTTGCAACTCCTCCAATCAGGAGCGAGGTAGAATCATGTAATTCACTGTGCACATGCTCAGTGTAATCCTGAACCCTCATGTGAAAAAGCAAGTCTCTGTGATATACTCTGCAGATTCTATTGACAGAAATCTGATTTTGAGGTAAGAAAGTAATTATTTTCACCAAATGTGTTTTTGTGATGGCATCATCTGCTTTGTAGTTACGTTCACCATACTTATATCAGGCTTATAACCAGTCTGTGTAGAGATATTTGATGCAAGTTAGCAATACTAAAGTTTTAACATTTAGCTAAAATGGAAGCTAGCTAGAGTCTGCAAGGGTCAGGGTTAGTTGAAACAACTTGTGAGAAAATGTTACAACTAACCCAGAGTAAAACTGAATGTTTTTGGTACATGTTTTATTTTACTTTCAGCATGCCTAGATCATGGGAAAGAAAGACAGACAGGGGAGTACCTCTCCACACTTTGAAAATAGCATCAAATGATGTAGCAGAGCAGGGGAAGTCAATCAGATCGGTTGCAAAGTTGTAAGGCATATGTCATGTGACGCTGTACAGATTCTGCAAAGAGAGAAAGAAGCTACTGGAGAAGGGGTCGAGAGAGCTTCCTCATGTAGGCTACCGTAGTGGAAACAGGGTCTTCATGGATGAGCAGGAGCAGAAGTTGTCAGAGTATCTCTTGAGGGCAGCTGATTTATATTATGGATTGTCTCCCCGTGAGGTAAGCACTTGATAGGAATTAGTGAGGAGTAAGTAAGGGCAAAGTTAGCAGTTAATGTTGGTGTCAATTAAGGTCAAGGGAGGGAGTACTAATGTAAATGATTAATGTAAAGTATTAATTGGGGAAAGTATTGAACGTATTTTATATTGTTACAGGTCAGGAAATGTGCCTACCAACTTGCTGTACAATATGGTTGCAAGCATCCTCAGTCATGGGATGAGACCTCTATGGCGGGAGCAGACTGGTTCTCATCTTACCTAAAGCGGTACCCTACTTTCTCCATTAGGAGTGCTGAAGCAACTAGTCTGTCACGGGCCACAAGTTTCAACAGAACAAATGTGGCAGAGTTTTTTTAGCACGACTCAGGATAAGACCCAGATGCAGGCACAGGAGGCGAATGGTTCAGTTCTCAGATAATTTATTATAACACGGGGGCCAGGCAAAGGGCAGGTCAAGGACAGGCAGAGGTTCAGAGTCCGACAGGTACAGGACGGCAGACAGGCTCAGGGTCAGGGCAGGCAGAAGTTCATAAACCAGGTCAGAATCAGGCATGTACAGAACGGCAGGTAGGGTCAGGGCAGTCAAAAAGGTCAGTACCGGGAGGACTAGAAAACAGAAACTAGAGCGACTGGAAAACTGGAAAACATGCTGGTAAGACTTGGTAAGACAAGACGAACTGGCAACAGACAAACAGAAAACGCAGGTATCAATACACAGGGGATAATTGGGAAAATGGGAGACACCTGGTGGGGGGTGGAGACAAGCACAAGACAGGTGAAACAGATCAGGGTGTGACATTTTTAAATACAGCTTTGATGGCAATGCTATATGGAATGTTGACGAGACAGGAATAACCACAGTACAAACACCTGATAGAGTGGTCGCGAAACGTGGCACAAAACAGGTTGGAGCAATCACCTCAGCAGAAAGGGGTACACTAGTGTCAATGGCTTGTGCTATAAATGCAATAGGAACTTTTCCCACACAAAAGATACCACGACCACGTTGAATGGGATGGACCAATTGGATGTGTTGGAAGTGGAAATGGATCCGGGGATGCAGGAGAATGACTTCCTCATTTTCCTTGAACACTTGGCTAAACATACCAAGGTCAGCCTGGAAGGAAGGTGGTCCTTCTCCTTGACAACCACAGCTCACACCTGTCTATCAGGACCATTGATTTATGTAGGCGCTCTGGCACTTTCTTTCCCCCTACACTGTTCACACAAGCTCCAGCCCCTGGACAGGAGTGTGTACCGTCCACTGAAGAAAATTGTGAACTCTGCAAGTGATTCCTGGATGAGGATGAACCCCGGAAAGACCATGACCATATATGACATTCCAGGCCTTGTCAAAACAGCATTTCCAGGTGCCACAACACCCACCAATGTACAGGCTGGGTTCAGGTGCACCGGCATTTGGCCATACAATGCTGATATATTTCAGGAATGTGACTTTGCACCCTCACCTGTCAATGATCGTCCTGCTCCAGCTAACACACTGGCCTTGCCAACTGCCTCCCAGGTCACCTCTTCAGTCACCTCTCAGGCCACTGTGCCCACTGTGCCCAGGCCACCTCTTCAGCTGCCTTCCAAACCACCTCTCCAGCTGCCTGTCAGGCCACCTCTCCAGCTGCCTTCCAGGCCATCTCTCCAGCTGCCTTCCAGGCCATCTCTCCAGCTGCCTTCCAGGCCACCTCTCCAGCTGCCACCCAGGCCACCTCTCCAGCTGCCTCTCAAGCCATCCCTCCAGCTGCCTTCCAGGCCAACTCTCCATATGCCTCCCAGGCCACCTCTCCAGCTGCCTCCCAGGCCAACTTTCCATCTGCCTTCCAGGCCACCTCTCCAACTGTCTCCCAGGCCACCTCTCCAACTGCCTTCCAAGCAACCTCTCCAAATGCCTTCCAGGCCACCTCTCCAGCCAATTCACAGGGCACCTCCCCACATGTATCAGGCTGTGGCTGGGAAACACCTGATTACTCTTCTGATTTCAACCCAGTTGATGTACGCCCCTTCCCAAAAGCAGGGCCCAGGAAAATTACAACAAAGGGTAGGAAGAGGAGAAAAACTGTGATTTTGATGAATACACCCATCAAGCAGACACTGGAAGGCAATTAGTTTTTGCCCTGCCTAAAAATACTGCTGGAAAGAAGCAAGCCAAGACAAACCACATTGAACAACAACAAACAACTGTCCTGCCTAAGAAAAAAGCCAAAACAAAGCACATTGAACCAGAAGATTCAGATTCCTCCAACGAGGAAGATCAAGTCCAAGGAGGTCTGGGATCAGTGCTGGGAATGCAAATTATGGGCCCACCAAGCCTGTACCCCAGGACAGCATACCACTGTCACAACTGTGACTCTGATTAAGTGAACATGTCCCACATTCAGTCACACACAGAGACACACTCACACACACACCACAAACGTTCAGGTGTTTAGTTTAGCCTAGTTGTTGTTTGGTTGAGAAATACCATTTAGTGGAGGGTAAAATATGAGTCTGTCAAAAAAAACATTTTATTATTTATATTGATTATTATTTTTGCATGGTAATGTTGCTCTCATGGTCTCAATAAAGGCGTTCAATAATTAGTTGCATGTCATGATTTATGCACTTTTTCATTCTGTTACAATTCACCCTAAGCACTGTTACAACTAACCCAGACCATGGGGTAAATTGTAACACTTTACTCCTTGTATTTAAGACAATACCATGTATTTGCAGTTTGATTTACACATATAATAACAACACCAATTTGTAAAGGACAGATGTACAGTGAGGGAAAAAAGTATTTGATCCCTTGCTGATTTGTATGTTTACCCACTGACAAAGACATGATCAGTCTATAATTTTAATGGTAGGTTTATTTGAACAGTGAGAGACAGAATAACAACAAAAAAATCCAGAAAAACGCATGTCAAAAATGTTATAAATTGATTTGCATTTTAATGAGGGAAATAAGTATTTGACCCCTCTGCAAAACATGACTTAGTACTTGGTGGCAAAACCCTTGTTGGCAATCACAGAGGTCAGACGTTTCTTGTAGTTGGCCACCAGGTTTGCACACATCTCAGGAGGGATTTTGTCCCACTCCTCTTTGCAGATCTTCTCCAAGTCATTAAGGTTTCGAGGCTGACGTTTGGGAACTCAAACCTTCAGCTCCCTCCACAGATTTTCTATGGGATTAAGGTCTGGAGACTGGCTAGGCCACTCCAGGACCTTAATGTGCTTCATCTTGAGCCACTCCTTTGTTGCCTTGGCCGTGCGTTTTGGGTCATTGTCATGCTGGAATACCAATCCACGACCTATTGTCAATGCCCTGGCTGAGGGAAGGAGGTTCTCACCCAACATTTGACAGTACATGGCCCCGTCCATCGTCCCTTTGATGCGGTGAAGTTGTCCTGTCCCCTTAGCAGAAAAACACCCCCAAAGCATAATGTTTCCACCTCCATGTTTGACGGTGGGGATGGTGTTCTTGGGGTCATAGGCAGCATTCCTCCTCCTCCAAACACGACGAGTTGAGTTGATGCCAAAGAGCTCGATTTTGGTCTCATCTGACCACAACACTTTCACACAGTTCTCCTCTGAATCATTCAGATGTTCATTGGCAAACTTCAGACAGGCCTGTATATGTGCTTTCTTGAGCAGGGGGACCTTGCGGGCGCTGCAGGATTTCAGTCCTTCACGGCGTAGTGTGTTACCAATTGTTTTCTTGGTGACTATGGTCCCAGCTGCCTTGAGATCATTGACAAGATCCTCCCGTGTAGTTCTGGGCTGATTCCTCACTATTCTCATGATCATTACAACTCCACAAGGTGAGATCTTGCATTGAGCCCCAGGCCGAGGGAGATTGACAGTTATTTTGTGTTTCTTCCATTTGCGAATAATCGCACCAACTGTTGTCACCTTCTCACCAAGCTGCTTGGCGATGGTCTTGTAGCCCATTCCAGCCTTGTGTAGGTCTACAATCTTGTCCCTGACATCCTTGGAGAGCTCTTTGGTCTTGGCCATGGTGGAGAGTTTGGAATCTGATTGATTTATTGCTTCTGTGGACAGGTTTATTTTATACAGGTAACAAACTGAGATTAGGAGCACTCCCTTTAAGAGTGTGCTCCTAATCTCAGCTCGTTACCTGTATAAAAGACACCTGGGAGCCAGAAATCTTTCTGATTGAGAGGGGGTCAAATACTTATTTCCCTCAATAAAATGCAAATCAATTTATAACATTTTTTACATGCGTTTTTCTGGATTTTTTTGTTGTTATTCTGTCTCTCACTGTTCAAATAAACCTACCATTAAAATTATAGACTGATCATTTCTTTGTCAGTGGGCAAACGTACAAAATCAGCAGGGGATCAAATACTTTTTTCCCTCACTGTAGGTTGTTTGTATCAAGTTTTGAATACACTTCCATAAACGATCTCTGAGAAACTGATGGAAAGGTGAAAAGTGATACACCCATCCCCGGTCTCCCCTAGCTGTACAGCAAATCAGTAATATGTTCGCTAGCTCACACGACCTGTGTTGATTGACAGTTTGGTAGTCCAATCAGAGGGGCCGAATGTGCATTTCACTAGCCAATCTGTTGCAGGCCGATGCTGCGGCTACTGTCTCTGGCTGCGTGGAGAGTAGGCTAATCCGCGGAGTAACAACGTTACAAAACCTGGACAGATCATTTCAAGTCATCAGTGTCAAGTTAATGTTGAGTCCCGAGTCTTGAGGCTTCAAGTCCAAGTAAAGTCTCAAGTTATTTTATTTTTTATCAAGTCGAGTCTCAAGTCTTAAAATGTGTGACTCGAGTCCAAGTCATGTGACTAGAGTTCCACAACTCTGCTAATCAGTTTCCTGTTGTGAGTGAAAGAAGTTCAATCTAAATATGCTCTCTACATGGGTATCTCCAGGACACGGAGGGCTTACAGATGTCACCCTGTCAAACTAGCAAAGGCTTAGTGGCCCAAATTGAAGCAATCAGATGAGTGATTGGTGTGATCCTTGTTGCGTTCCTAATGGCACCCTATTCCCTATGCACTACACTACTTTAGACCAGGGCCTATGGTCAAATTTAGAGCACTATATAGGAAATAGGGTGCCATTTAGGACATAATGCCTGACTTTGTATGAAGATAGAACATTGACAGCCATTTAACCAAGCCAAAGGTGGATTATACCTTTTATCTTTAATGCCCCAATAGGTTGTGTTGGCAGGTTGGTTGGTTTCTGTCAGGTGTGGGTGTGTTGGTGTGTGTGTGTGTGTGTATGGTGTGTGTGTATGTGGCGAGCATATGTGGCTGTGTTACTGTGTGCTTGTGTCCCCGTCCATACTGTAACATATAATTCTCACTGTTTTGTCTGCCACAGGCCTGGTCGTGGAAGGAGACAGTCTTGGAGTCGGGGACGTCTGGCCGATACACGGTGGAGACAGTGAGCACTGATGAGGGGGTAATCTCCACCCTCTCCATGAGTAACATCGTCCCTGCTGACTTCCAGACCATCTATAACTGCACCGCCTGGAACAGCTTTGGGTCCGACACAGAGATAATTCGACTGAAGGAACAAGGTACACCAACTCCCTTTGTACCACTTCAATCAATTCCTCACCCCTTTCCTGCAGTCAAATGACCAAATCGCCCACTAGTGGCCTCATGGGTGGAATGTTATTAATCTTTTTCATAATGTAATAGTTAAGAAACTATTTTTTTGTTTTGTTTTTACCCATTACAGTGGAGGGGGGTGTATGTCTTTAACCCCTTATTTTTGGCAGTCTCCATATATACTTCCATTCATTTTTTTCAACTGGTACCGGGGACCAACAGAAAAGTCTTGTGAGGCCTGTGGGTCTCCTAGAGCAAAACAACTAACATGTACGTATTCGTGAGAGTCAACCTTTCCACAGTGGGGTCATATTAGTGTGTAGCCCAAACTATTCGGATGCTACAGACAGTTGGTAGATCGACTGTACCAACTTCAGCCAAGTCCCAAGACGCTTGTGGGGGCCGTAGAACAAAACCGAGAACACCATCCGGTCCGTGAGAGACTCATCTTTCCATAATAGTTTGTAGGCCAAACCATTCGGGTGCTACAGATGATTTTGTGAGAAGACCGATTTTCGGGATGTCTCATGGTCTGACAAACACCGATCTAGCTCTGTCACCTTTCACTCAGATGCGGATGTGCGACATCGGCGGATGCTGTGGATCCAATGCAAAACAGATATCTCTACCTGAAACTTCAGATTTTTATGGGGATTATTTTATTATGCTAAGAAAATCGAGCACACAACCATGCAATCTCCATAGACAAACATTGGCAGTAGAATGGCCCGTACTGAAGAGCTCAGTGACTTTCAATGTGGCACCGTCATAGGATGCCACCTTCCAACAAGTCAGTTCGTCAATTTTCTCCCCTGCTAGAACTGCCTCGGTCAGCGCGTAAAAAAAGTCTGTCCTCGGTTGCAACACTCACTACCAACTTCCAAACGGTCTATGGAAGCAACGTCAGCACTAGAACTATTCGCCGGGACCTTCATGAAATGGGTTACCATGGCCGAACAAGTCCATATTATGGCAAGAACAGCACAAATAAGCAAAGAGAAACAACAGTCCATCATTACTTTAAGACATGAAGGTTAGTCAATACGGAACATTTCAAGAACTTTGAAAGTTTCTTCAAGTGCAGTCGTAAAAACCATCAAGCGCTATGATGAAACTGGCTCTCATGAGGACCGACACAGGAAAGGAAGACCAGAATTACCTCTGCTGCAGAGGATAAGTTCATTAGAGTTACCAGCCTCAGAAATTGCAGCCCAAATAAGTGCTTCACAGAGTTCAAGTAATCAACTGTTCAGAGGAGACTACGTGAATCAGGCCTTCATCAAATCAAATCAAATCAAATTTTATTGGTCACATGCGTCGAATACAACAGGTGCAGACATTACAGTGAAATGCTTACTTATAGCCCTTAACCAACAGTGCATTTATTTTTAACAAAAAAAGTAAAAATAAAACAACAACAAAAAAAGTGTTGAGAAAAAAAAGAGCAGAAGTAAAATAAAGTAACAGTAGGGAGGCTATATATACAGGGGGGTACCGTTGCAGAGTCAATGTGCGGGGGCACCGGCTAGTTGAGGTAGTTGAGGTAATATGTACATGTGGGTAGAGTTAAAGTGACCATGCATAAATAATTAACAGAGTAGCAGCAGCGTAAAAAGGATGGGGTGGGGGGGCAGTGCAAATAGTCCGGGTAGCCATGATTAGCTGTTCAGGAGTCTTATGGCTTGGGGGTAGAAGCTGTTGAGAAGTCTTTTGGACCTAGACTTGGCACTCCGGTACCGCTTGCCGTGCGGTAGCAGAGAGAACAGTCTATGACTAGGGTGGCTGGAGTCTTTGACAATTTTGAGGGCCTTACTCATGGGTGGAATGGTCGAATTCATGGTCAAATTGCTGCAAAGAAACCACTACTAAAGGACACCAATAATAAGAAGAGACTTGCTTGGGGCAAGAAACACAAGCAATGGACATTAGACCGGTGGAAATCTGTCCTTTGGTCTGATGAGTCCAAATTGGAGATTTTTGGTTCCAACCGCCGTGTCTTTGTGAGACGCAGAGTAGGTGAACGGATGATCTCTGCATGTTTGGTTCCCACCATGAAGCATGGAGGAGGAGGTATGATGGTGTGGGGGTGCTTTGCTGGTGACACTGTCTGTGATTTATTTAGAATTCAAGGCACACTTAACCAGCATGGTTCCCACATCATTCTGCAGATACCCGCCATCCCATCTGGTTTGCGCTCAGTGGGACTATCATTTGTTTTTCAACAGGACAATGACCCAACACACCTCCAGGCTGTGTAAGGGCTATTTGACCTTGAAGGAGAGTGATGGAGTGCTGCATCAGATGACCTGGCCACCACAATCACCCGACCTCAACCCAATTGAGATGGTTTGGGATGAGTTGGACAGCAGAGTGAATGAAAAGCAGCCAACAAGTGCTCAGCAAATGTGGGAACTCCTTCAAGACTGTTGGAAAAGCATTCCAGGTGAAGCTGGTTGAGAGAATGCTAAGAGTGTGCAAAGCTGTCATCAAGGCAAAGGGTAGCTACTTTGAAGAATCTGAAATATAAAATGTATTATTATTTTTTGGTTACTACATGATTCCATATGTGTTATTTCATAGTTTTGATGTCTTCACAATATTTCTACAATGTAGAAAATAGTAAAAAATAAATAAAGATAACCCCTTGAATGAGTAGGTGTGTCCAAACTTTTGACATGTACTGTATATAGTGCAGCTTTATGGTTATATTGTAACATGTGGTAAAAAAATCTTAACAGCTGTTGTGGTAGTGTTAAAAATGTTTTATGTCATAACTTTTTTGGCCATCTTTGTGCACATTCGCTATTGCAGATAAAGGCCGATGTATGTTCTCTCAGAATGTTTATGCAGTGGACAGCTGTGTTTTTTATACAACAGGTCTGTGTGTGTACATGTAGGTGGGTTGGTGTGAGAGAGTCTGTGTATGAGACAGAGATTTGGAGTCTGAGAGAAAGTGAGTAATTGAAAGTAATAGAAAGAGAGTTGCAGAGTGTTTGTGTTTTGTGGAAGTGCAACTATGCCTGGGAGAGATTAAGGATATTGCCGTGATTACTTCATGCATGAGGGCAATGGCTCCGTGATAAGCCTTTTACTTGGGTAAATGTCAACAATTTCAATCTGTGAAATCCTGTAATGACATTTAGATGTATTCAGAACTCCAATATGTAATCTAATTTACAACGCCTCAATTGGTTACAGCTTAACATATGATTTCTTTGAAATATTTATTTGAAATGAGATGATGTTTTTCATTTATTTCCCCCTTTTATCAATTAGGTCTCTCCCTTCCAAAGCGTTAAACTATCTGTTTTCAAAGGGATCGTTGAAATGACAATTCTGTAACAATGAATTTCAGTGGAAGATCTTACTAAAGTCAACCATGCTTTTGAATTAATTAGCTAGACCTCGACTAGCCACAGGGTTATACACTCATCTTTGAGACATCTCAGTTTAACGAATCAACCCCTATAGCCTACGAACCTATTCACAACATTTAGAACACCATTTTTATACAGCTGTTAACCTCTCAGTCATTTGAAATAAATGTAGATAATGGGTGTCAAGATTGTCAGTGCTGTAAATGGTACTGTAAAAGGTTTTCACTATTTGCCATTCACCAGTCGTGTTCACTTTTTGCATTAGCAAGGACTTGTCACAGTTCAACATACAGTAAGTGTTAGCCTTGGTGTATATCACATGATGTAGGTCTACTGTGGTTCAAGAGAAATATGTCCCTTGATTTATTTTCCTTGCATCAGCTGTGTGACACTGGTAATCCAATGGCATGATGGAACCACCTATGTACGATGTCCATATTAGGACAACCTCAATCTCATCAGGACTCCTAATATGGCCACCGTACCAATGTCTATCCTCCATGTCTTCTCAGAGTCCCTCCGATTGGCTGTCATCATAGGAGTGGCTGTGGGGGCATTCCTCGCCCTCATTGTCCTCATGGGCACATTGGGTGCCTTCTGCTGTGCCCGCTTCCAGAGGAGTAAGTGCATTTTTAAAAACCTATCCTTTCTGGGACAGCCAAAGCGTTCAATAGACACTCTTGGTTTCACAGTCAAATGTTGTTGTTTTTTCATGTACAATCTGTGCAAATCAAAATGCTCTGTAGTGCTTAGAAGGTTTCGCATTGGAATGTTAAGCATAATGGTTTTAGGATATCAACTCAGCACTGTAAGAACTTATGTGAAATCCTTTGAGATGACGGGACAAAAATCTAAACCTGAAAATATGGTACTTGTATATTCCTCTCTTTAAATCATATATACTGTATATCGCCTAAAATGCCAATTTTAGGACTGAAAAGGCTGAGAGTTATCTGCAGCCAGACTCTAACATAATACTTCTTGTTTGACACTGTCTGCCGCCCAATTGTATAAATGTCCCATTAGATGGAAGCTAGTGCCTTAAAGGATTTTTATTATTTTTTTTACAACCAAATCTCTATTTTTGATGTAAATGGCATGTTATAGAAGGGTCCAGACACCTTTTTTGTGATTTCACGTTTTTGAGAAACTTACCCCAAACAGAAAATCACTTCCTCATCTTCATGAGTAGTATGCAGGCCCCGAAAAAACATGGATCCTAAAACACCCAAATACGTCATTTAAGGAAGCTCTCAGTCTTTAGATGCAGGTCTTTAGATGTTGTACACATGAAATTGTGTCATTCCAAACTTTATCCGCAACATTATATTCCATTTTGTAGCGGCTCGGGCGATACCTCTCCGTCCATTCTACATATAACTGCCAAAATAAAGGAAACACTTGAGTAAATGAGGGCTATAAAGTGAATTGAAAGCATGGGGTTCTTCCACACAGGAAGTTCCAGACACTTGTAGAATCTATGCCAAGGTGCATTGAAGCTGTTCTGGCGGCTCGTGGTGGCACAACACCCTATTAAGATGCTTTATGTTGGTGTTTTCTTTATTTTGGCACTTGCATGTAGCAGCAGGCTACACTGAGAATGGAACAGCTGAATAGGGGAAATGGCTCGAGTCATGCAAAAGGGAATATAACATTGCGGATAAAGTTCGTAATAACACAATTCATGTGTACAACATCTAAAGACCTGCATCACTATACTGAGAGCTTTGCCATTTCTAAAAAAACGTATTTGGGTATTTTCGGAGCCTTTGTTCATGTTTTTTCATGGCCCCCATACTACACAATGAGGATGAGAAAGTTATTTGCTGTTTAGAGTAAGTTTCTAAAAAACATGTGAAATCACAAAAACAGTGTGTGGACCAGAGCGACTTACAGTTAGTGAGTGCATACATTTTCATACTGGCCCCCCGTGGGAATCGAACCCACAACCGTGGCATTGCAAACACCATGCTCTACCAACTGAGCTACATGGGGCCACATGCCATTTACATGCCATTTACATCAAAAATAGAGATGTGGTTTTAAAAAGGCAAACTTCTCCTTTTAAGCAATATCCTTATCTGATATAAAACACAGCCTACACAGTGGAGTGCAGTGGAGGCTCCTCAGAGGAGGAAGGGGAGGACCAACCTCCTCAGTGATTTTCAGAAAAATATAAATAGTAAAACATTAAAAAAGTTATCCTTTTTAGAAAGAACTATACTAAATATAATCACGTCACAAAATAATTGATTAAAACATACTATTTTGCAATGAAGGTTTTAGTAGCCTCAACAGCACTCTGTAGGGTAGCACAATGGTGTAGCCAGGGGACAGCTAGCTTCCTTCATCCTCTGGGTACATTGACTTCAATACAAAACCTAGGAGGCTCATGGTTCTCACCCCCTTCTATAGACTTCCATAGTAATTATGACAACTTCCAGAGGACGTCCTCCAACCTATCAGAGCTCTTGCAGCATGAACTGGCATGTTGTCCACCCAATCAAAGGATCAGAGAATGAATCTAGTACTGAAAACATAAGATACAGCTAACTATCACTGCAGTGCATCAAATGTGGTGAGTAGTTGACTCAAAGAGAAAGACAATAGGTGAACAGTTTTAAACAAATGAATTTCTTCCAAAATGAAGGTGAATCAAGAGAGAAATAGAGAGATTTCTTCATTTATTTTCACTTTCAGTTTCCCTTACTTAGCTAGCAAATAATAAATAGGTCATTTAGCAGACGCTCTTATCCAGAGCGACTTACAGGAGCAATTGATCAAGGGCACATCGACAGATTTTTCACCTAGTCGGCTCGGGGATTAGAACCAGCGACCTTTCGGTTACTGGCACAACACTAAGCTCCCTGCCGCAAATGCAGCTAGCTTGTTTAGCCTACTCAAACACCCTGCTCAAACAGAGGGATGCTATGTTACCTAGCTGGCTATGACTATCCAACACAACACTGGAACTCTTCCAAGTCAAGGTAAGCTTTTGGTTTCACTAATTTATTGCCACCGGGGCCCACCATTGTAAGTGCTAAACTGCTTACTGACTGTACACTGTAATGTTACTGCATGATTGTAGCATGTTTACTAACGTGTTAGTTCTATTATCTATGTTGACTATTACATTACTTTATCTAATATGGTGACAACGATGTAGGCTGTGTGTAACAGTTATGATATGGTTTGGCTTGGAAAGGTATTTGAAATCCACAAGCGACAAAGGGCAAAGGTGAGAGGAGGAGAGCGCATAGATGCGAGAAGGAATACAACATGTCTGTTATGAAAGTTAACTGTGTTTACGCATGATCATGGGTGTATTCATTCCGCCAATTCTGTTGAAAAACATTTCTTAAACGGAACAAAACGGATATAAACATACCTGAATTTGTCCAATAGAAACTCTCGTTTGCAACTGTTGGACTAATGATTACACACTATATCAGCTAGATGTAGGCAAGAGTGTGCAAGGCGGTATTGAATGTGTCACTGTCTGTCCATGTGTCACTGTCACCTCAAATTTTATGTTGTAGCAACCTCATGATGAGTATAGGGAACATTTGAGTATCATATAGTAGCCTAAACCTATCGCTGTTACATTGAACTGGGTGAATGGAATGTGAATGACAGTCATCCAATGTGCTGTAATAGAAATAAGGCAATGCTCATAAAAAACAAAAAAATCGTCCTCCCTCATCTTAAACGGCACTGACCGCCACTGGTGGAGTGTAGTGATACAGTGCCCATATATCCGGTCGATGTAGACTGCTGTTAACCATGTCGTTGTTGTTGTTGTTGTTGTTGGTGGTGGTGTTGTTGGTGTTGTTGTTTACCACAGAAGAAGTTCACCTCGTCATGTCCTCCTTACCCGTCTCCATCTCCTCTCGCCAGAGAGACCTGGCAGGCAAAATTAAAACAGAGAGTAAGTAACCCTTGAATATGATTGTATATGATCTTACAATGTCAGAGGCTGTCGATAAAGTTTATTTCACTAGCGCCATGCATAAGTGCTACAGAAATATCCATGTGTATAATATCCATGAATGACAGCAGTCACTGCTGTCTGTTTAAGGAATAAGGAGCCTGCCAACATAAGGATATGATTGTATATGATTGTTATCAATAATTTCAGTGACACTCAAGTATACAGTGCCCTATATAATGTCCATGACACATAAATAAGCAGCACATGACACCTTTATAATCGAATCATTCATAAATGCTTCTGGCATACCCCGTGTCAACTGCAGGCAGTTAATATTTACACACATGAGCATCTATGGTTAGGAGTTAAGTGTATTCTGTGGCACACATAGCCCTAGCACTGAAGAGTTGCTCATTTTTAACTGTAGATCATGCTCTATAAAGATTCATAATGTGGCATAACTGGGTGACATACCCATCAATGTATTTGTTCATATTTATTAATCTTTTATAGAGCATGAAATATGGTTATAGATTATTTGTGACCCATTTATGTAATGCTTATGAAGCCTATATGAATGCTTTATGAAGCCTTCATAAGATGCCCTTCAAATAAATCAGGACCCAGTTTTGTAATGAGCTGTGACTGCTGTGGGAGTGTAGAATAGTTCCAGTCCACCAAAGAACATGTTATGATGCTGATGCTGGCTGTGGAGCTAAGGGACTCTCCAAGCTCCCATCAAGAGATCTAAGGGGCCATAACTTTTAACGCCGCTCGGATGTGGTATGATGTGGTGCCAGAGGACTTCTGTCAGTGGCGCCAATCAGTTTCCCTGTCTCTCTACAGATCTCAAAGGAGTGGTTTTGGCAAAAAACGACATCCGGGTGGAGATTGTTCACAAAGATCACAACACAGTGCGGGAAACAGAGGAGCACACAGCCATCAAGCAGATGATGGTGAGTTGAACGCTACTCATCTCTCCTCTCTGCATGTCATTTTCGAGTCCATCGATAGTACATCTGAATCAATTGAAAATGTTCTAATCGACAGTTCATTGAAGAACATTTTCCATTATACAGTACATCTATCTATCTAACAGACGTACTGCAAACACAGTAACCCAAAGATATAATTTAGACATGACATTTTACTCAGGGATGTAGCGTTAAAAAAGAAAAGTGGGTTAACCCTGAAAACAGACAACCATGCTTATTTAGTGTAAATAGGCGCGTAAATGCTATTAACCAAATAAAAACAGTGTTTGCATGCATTTACCCTCCACTACACCCCTGATAGTAGGTGAATATCAAACAGCCTTTGAGTGACATGTCTGCCCCCTTGGTGTCTCAGATTGAGCGCGGGGAGTTCCAGGCGCAGGAGTCTGTGCTGAAGCAGCTGGAGGTCCTACAAGAGGAAGAGAAGGATTTCCAGCACATTAAGGTGGACACAGAGCCAGGCATACAGGGGGCAGTGATACAGCATTAGGAATGTCCTAAAATGTACAGTTGAAGTCGGATGTTTACATACACCTTAGCCAAATACATTTAAACTCAGTTTTTCACAATTCCTGACATTTAATCCTAGTAAAAATTATTTGTTTTAGGTCAGTTAGGATCACCACTTTATTTTAAGAATGTGAAATATCAGAATAATAGTAGAGAGAATGATTTATTTTAGCTTTTATTTCTTTCATCACATTCCCAGTGGGTCAGAAGTTTACATACACTCAATTAGTATTTGGTAGCATTTCCTTTAAATTGTTTCACTTGGGTCAAACGTTTCGGGAAGCCTTCCACAAGCTTCCCACAATAAGTTGGGTGAATTTTGGCCCATTCCTCCTGACAGAGCTGGTGTAACTGAGTCAGCTTTGTAGGCCTCCTTGCTCGCACATGCTTTTTCAGTTCTGCCCACAAATTTTCTATAGGATTGAGGTCAGGGCTTTGTGATGGCCACTCCAACACCTTGACTTTGTTGTCCTTAAGCCATTTTGCCACATCTTTGGAAGTATGCTTGGGGTCATTGTCCATTTGGAAGACCCATTTGCGAACAAGCTTTAACTTCCTGACTGATGTCTTGAGATGTTGCTTCCATATATCCACATAATTTTCTTTCCTCATGATGCAATCTATTTTGTGAAGTGCACCAGTCCCTACTGCAGCAAAGCACCCCCACAGCATGATGCTGCCAACTCTGTGCTTCACGGTTGGGATGGTGTTATTCGGCTTGCAAGCGACCACCCTTTTCCTCCAAACATAACAATGGTCATTTTGGCCAAACAGTTCTATTTTTGGTTTCATCAGACCAGAGGACATTTCTCCAAAAAGTATGATCTTTGTCCCCATGTCCAGTCGCAAACCGTAGTCTGACTATTTTATGGCGGTTTTGGAGCAGTGGCTTCTTCCTTGCTGAGCGGCCTTTCAGGTTATGTCGATATAGGACTCGTTTTACTGTGGATATAGATACTTTTGTACCTGTTTCCTCCAGCATCTTCACAAGGTCCTTTGCTGTTGTTCTGGGATTGATTTGCACTTTTCGCACCAATGTACGTTCATCTCTAGGAGACAGAATGCGTCTCCTTCCTGAGCGGTATGACAGCTGTGTGGTCCCATGGTGTTTATACTTGCGTACTATTGTTTGTACAGATGAATGTGGTACCTTCAGGCGTTTGGAAATTGCTCCCAGGGATGAACCAGACTTGTGGAGGTCTACAATTTTTTTTCTGAGGTCTTGGCTGATTTCTTTTGATTTTCCCATGATGTCAAGCAAAGAGGCACTGAGTTTGAAGGTAGGCCTTGAAATACATCCACAGGTACACCTCCAATTGACTCAAATGATGTCAATTAGCCTACCAGAAGCTTCTAAAGCCATGACATCATTTTCTGGAATTTCCCAAGCTGTTTAAAGGCACAGTCAACTCAGTGTATGTAAACTTCTGACCCACTGGAATTGTGATACAGTGAATTATAAGTGAAATAATCTGTCTGTAAACAATTGTTGGAAAAATTACTTGTGTCATGCACAAAGTAGATGTCCTAACCGACTTGCCAAAACTATAGTTTGTTAACAAGAAATGTGTGGAGTGGTTGAAAAATGAGTTTTAATGACTCCAACCTAAGTGTATCTAAACTTCCGACTTCAACTGTACACTGTATTATAGTTCTAGGAGGAACATGTATTCTATTCAGTTAGGACTACTATTCTGTTTCTTCTTCTTTTTTTCCACACATAATGGCTCTTTGTTTTTCTGCTCATATGTAAGGAATCTTATTTCAGTAACAATAAATAGGGATTTTCGCAATCCACATCTATTGTAAGAAGAATCTATTTTAGATCTACAGTACTGGAGTGTTGTGAAAATAACCAGTAGGAGTTGCATGAAACAAGGCTGACTATTAAGATACCCATGAACCAGTCAAGGTAGAGTAGAAGGGAGTACCTGCGAATCCGTCGTCGTGTATATTTTGTTTTCCCTATTATAGATAGACCACTCTCCCGCCTAAAACACTTCATTTTCATTATATATGACTGAAAGTAGAAATATGCAGATTAAAGAATGGACGTGTGATTGAATTTCAAAGGGAATGACAAGGTTGTTTTTTTTTCTTCAAAAGCAGGTAGAGTGGTTCTTAACTCACTCTAAATTCCATTATGCATCCGCAACCACGTTAGAGTTTCTGTTGTACAGCTATATTGAAGTTAAAACTCCCTGATGGAATTTATGGAAGAGTTCATGTCTAAAGTGGAGGCATTCTCTTCAATCCAAACATGAGGAATTATTGGCTATGTCCCCCCAATTATCTCTCCTTCCTCCCAAAGTGTGCACTTCTTCACTTTCTTTCACTGATTTGAAAGAAACCATGGTGGAAACTTTCACTAGCCCATGTCTCCAGCAATCCAATGCTTTCAGATTTGTGGGAAGTAGTGAATAAGTGCACACTTCAGGAGAAATTACATATTATTGGGATGCACCCATCTAATTTGATTGGTATGCACAAGTTCTGGACACCTGGAGGGAAGATTTACATTAAATATACAGTACCAGTCAAAAGTTTGGACACACCTACTCATTCAAGGGTTTTTCTTAATTTTTACTATTTTCTACATTGTAGAATAACTGAAGACATCAAAACGATGAAATAACACATATGGAATCATGTAGTAACCAAAAAAGTGTTAAACAAATCAAAATATGTTTTATATTTGAGATTCTTCAAAGTAGCCACCCTTTGCCTTGATGAAAGCTTTGCACACTCTTGGCATTCTCTCAACCAGCTTCACCTGGAATGCTTTTCCAACAGTCTTGAAGGAGTTCCAACATATGCTGAGCACTTGTTTGCTGCTTTTCCTTCACTCTGCAGTCCGACTCATCCCAAACCATCTCAATTGGGTTGAACAGACAGATGAAGTTGCGTGGAAAAAGGAATTGGGGGGGGGGGATATACTTCTCCCATGGGCAAAGAAATTCAAAAGGGGTGATGATATTAATTAATAGTAATTTCGATCCGAATGTGAAAATTGTCCAAATAGATACGCAAGGTAGATGGATTATTTATTTCTTATCTCATTCTCGTTGGCACCAAAAGTTTAAAAAAGTGTTGATAGGGGACAGAATGCGGTCGGACCATCATATAATTAGCATATACATTACTCTTACTGAATTTCCACGTGGGCGAGGATATTGGAAATTTAATCAAAGCCTATTGGATGATAATTTATTTTTAATTAGGACAAAGGAATTTATAACTGACTTTTTCCCAACATAACATAGGTACAGCAAATCCCCTTATTGTATGGGACACCTTTAAATGTGCCTTTAGAGGCCATGCAATTACCTCTAAAGTACTCATCTCGAAAACAAAAGCAATTTAGGTCAAAAGAGTTTATACTAACAAAGGAAATAGAAAGTCTAACAGAACAGATACAGTGGGGAAAAAAAGTATTTAGTCAGCCACCAATTGTGCAAGTTCTCCCACTTAAAAAGATGAGAGAGGCCTGAAATTTTCATCATAGGTACACGTCAACTATGACAGACAAAATAAGACATGTTTTTCCAGAAAATCACATTGTAGGATTTTTAATGAATTTATTTGCAAATTATGGTGGAAAATAAGTATTTGGTCAATAACAAAAGTTTCTCAATACTTTGTTATATACCCTCTGTTGGCAATGACACAGGTCAAACGTTTTCTGTAAGTCTTCACAAGGTTTTCACACACTGTTGCTGGTATTTTGGCCCATTCCTCCATGCAGATCTCCTCTAGAGCAGTGATGTTTTGGGGCTGTCGCTGGGCAACACAGACTTTCAACTCCCTCCAAAGATTTTCTATGGGGTTGAGATCTGGAGACTGGCTAGGCCACTCCAGGACCTTGAAATGCTTCTTACGAAGCCACTCCTTCGTTGCCCGGGCGGTGTGTTTGGGATCATTGTCATGCTGAAAGACCCAGCCACGTTTCACCTTCAATGCCCTTGCTGATGGAAGGAGGTTTTCACTCAAAATCTCACGATACATGGCCCCATTCATTCTTTCCTTTACACGGATCAGTCGTCCTGGTCCCTTTGCAGAAAAACAGCCCCAAAGCATGATGTTTCCACCCCCATACTTCACAGTAGGTATGGTGTTCTTTGGATGCAACTCAGCATTCTTTGTCCTCCAAACACGACAAGTTGAGTTTTTACCAAAAAGTTATATTTTGGTTTCATCTGACCATATGACATTCTCCCAATCCTCTTCTGGATCATCCAAATGCACTCTAGCAAACTTCAGACGGGCCTGGACATGTACTGGCTTAAGCAGGGGGACACGTCTGGCACTGCAGGATTTGAGTCCCTGGCGGCGTAGTGTGTTACTGATGGTAGGCTTTGTTACTTTGGTCCCAGCTCTCTGCAGGTCATTCACTAGGTCCCCCCATATGGTTCTGGGATTTTTGCTCACCGTTCTTGTGATAATTTTGACCCCACGGGGTGAGATCTTGCGTGGAGCCCCCAGATTGAGGGAGATTATCAGTGGTCTTGTAGGTCTTCCATTTCCTAATAATTGCTCCCACAGTTGATTTCTTCAAACCAAGCTGCTTACCTTTTGCAGATTCAGTCTTCCCAGCCTGGTACAGGTCTACAATTTTGTTTCTGGTGTCCTTTGACAGCTCTTTGGTCTTGGCCATAGTGGAGTTTGGAGTGTGACTGTTTGAGGTTGTGGACAGGTGTCTTTTATACTGATAACAAGTTCAAACAGGTGCCATTAATACAGGTAACGAGTGGAGGACAGAGGAGCCTCTTAAAGAAGAAGTTACAGGTCTGTGAGAGCCAGAAATCTTGCTTGTTTGTAGGTGACCAAATACTTATTTTCCACCATAATTAGCAAATAAATTCATTAAAAATCCTACAAAGTTATTTTCTGGATTTTTTTTCTCTCAATTTGTCTGTCATAGTTGACGTGTACCTA